GTATGCAATCTCTATTGTCATTGCTTCAGGAGCCTAGCTGTAACGAGCCAGTCTGGTGTCACAACGGCACCTGTTCAATATGAAGCACATTGTAGGTCATACGAATACATGCGTGAGGTTGGTCCTGTCAACGTGGCTGTACGCAAACTCACATACAGGGAACATGTTCGTCAGGTGCTTTTGTTTTCAAATGACCTTGTCTTTTTGAAATACTTGAATTGAATTGCAATACTTTGTCATTGATTTCTAAACTTTTATCACAACTTTTTGTTCTCTCCATTCTGGCAGAACCTTAGTGAGTTCAAAGAGCTGGTAGGGTGTGTCTTCCCCAAACTGATTGATACAAAAGTCATGGCAGGGACACAGCCATTCAAGGTTTGTACATCTTCTGAATCGTCACTGTAACTTTGATGGAGTCTTCCTAGAAACATGAAGCTGATGAGCTACATGATCGACTCTTGATGAATGGCAGAAGACCGAGTCTAATTTTCAATTGAATGTGCACAAACATGTGGCATATCTGTATAAGAGGAACATAGCTGGGACTTGAATTCACCAGAACTAGCGCTGGAATGGAAGCTATTGCATAGTGGTGTACAATGTATAGAAGCAATAGATGCCTGTAATAATTGTACGTACATGCATATGACATGGTCACTGATGAGCCAAGTAAAACTAGCAAGAATTCTGGAGTTACTTTTCTGAAGCAATATCCAACTTTAGAAATTCCTTCAATATTTTACATCCTTGTACTCCTGATTAGCCTAATTTGGAATGGTTCCAATTTATCGGACTTTGATGTGAAGACTGTTTTGATTTTTGATCTTTCAGGAACATATTCCTCTGACAGGCTTGGCAGAATTAGAGAAATCCCTGAGTAATGATCCTTTCACAAAACCTACATTTGGTAAGAGTTGTTGCATTTTTTCCTTCATTATAAAGGTAAGGATATCTGGAAAACTCATTACATACTTTGTTGGATTCCCTAAAATGGTTTTCTAAATGCCAAAATTTTACCTTGAATATAGTTTCTGTTATTGCTTACTCAACCAGTATTACCCCAAATCCTTTAAAATGGAACACCTTTTTCTATCATTTTTGGCTGTTCTGTTCTGGAAACATGTATAAAATATTTATTGTTGGGAGTTGATGAGGGATAAAGGTGTTTTAGGGTTACCACATTTCTATATTCACAATATGTACAAAAAATGGGCTTAGATTTGACTAAAGAGATGTACGGATATTCCTTTTCCTATCCATTCACTCATATGTACCTTTGACTTCTAAGGAAGTTGTCCTAACCCTAACTCCTCATTTTTCACATTTTCAGTAACAGCACCTGGTTACCCTAGCTATTGCTCAACCAACGACCAATCACATGAAGCAGGCTATGATGCCTTCATCACTGGTTCCTGCTTCGCTACCATGGCCAACTATCTGGGTAGCTTCTTGGATCCTCCAAAGGGGTGTGTCTCGCCAACATGCAACCTTATTGAACCATTCCATAACAAGTGAGTTCTAACTCTTGGAGTGTCTGGTTTCATTGTGTCCATCAAAGTGATACATCTATGCAAACTATACAAGGGAAAGTTCTGGTGCAGACAAGAAATTGCATGCTTTTACACAGTAACGATGGTTCCTTGGTGGGAACTCACCATGACACGCACAGGTTTTGTGTACCTTCAGCTCATTTGGGGTTGGTTAAAACCGAATTCTCTACTTTGTCTAAGGTAAAGTGATGAGTCTGGGTACCAGCAAAGAAGTGATAAACCCCTACATGTATTTAATGCCAGGAGCCTGTAATTCAGACATTCAGAACATATTATTCATTAATGTCTTGAATTTCTCCAAATCCAATCGTAGAATTTAAGCCTTGTGGTTCCTATTGGATGCATACTCCTCTACAGGATTACTCCTACGTGGGTGTCAGCACAAAGCTTACCAGTTGACATGTCCACTATGCAAAGCTGTATTCTCAACAGTAAAAGCACTAGCAGGTTGACTATATTGGTTCCAAACACTATCAAAGTAGTTGTCTCATTTTGATTTCTGTTTGTGGTCTGTCAGGTAAATACCACATTGAGACTAGTTGTGTGACTGTATCCAGTATAGCCTCCTGTATTTATTTTATTTATTTTGATATCCAACAGCGGAGATCCGCAACTTACAGGTATCATAGAAACAAAACAACTAATAGTAAAAACTGTCTTATGGATAAAAAAGGGACAAATCTAAATCACTTGTAAATAAATAAATAATTGTATAAACATAAACTTGAGTAAATACATACATTTAAGTTAAGTTAATTCAGTGTAAAACTGGCTGAACCTGTGGCAGTTTACATGTACATAGTTGAGTTATGAGTGCGAAGAAATTCTGTAAATCTCTGTACGGAACGAATTCAATGTAAGCGCCCCAAACACATCGCACATCTCGTGGAGTCGGTTGTAGGCAGTTGAAATCCTTGAAACAAAGCCTTGCTTCGTTACCTCCACCCGGCTCCGTGGAGCATGCATGATATATTTGGGAGCAGATCTGTTTCGGCGGTCTAGAACATGGAACACCAAACCAGATCTGCTCCCAAACACATGCGTGTTCCGCAGAGTGGGATGATGCTAGATGTGATAGATTGAGACCAATTTTGATTTCTGATTCCATTTATGTGGTGAAGTAATTATGGAAACATTGGATGCGTTACTTTTTGTTTTCTTTGCAGGATGTGTCTGTTCCGAGTTCAAGATCTACCGTACCTGAATCTGACAGGAAAAGATTGTGAGAATAAGAACTGGAGACTTGATCTCAGACAATAAGGATCAAAGAATAGACCATGCAATCCATCGGGAAACAATAAGAATAACATTTCTCATGTTTGGACATGATTTAAGCTCTGTTTAAAATGTTGACTTGTTTCTGTTTTCCAAAGTTCCTCTCAAGCCTTGCCCTGGTATGTCCTCTGAAGCATATGCACACTTGCATGATAGTCAGCAGCCTTTCAGGGAGCAAGGTTAAACTGACAGTGGTCTGGAGTTTAATAATACGCATGAACTTGAAGGGTTTAACTATGAGATCTGAGTTAGCACCAAAGGTCTTGTTCATGTACTTGCTGATACCAGCCAGGGTTAAGTCATCGCCAGACAACTTTTTTCCTTTCCAGTTTGGGACGCGATGATGTCAGGTTGATATCTTTGATATCTTCCTGGGATTTCAATCCTAACTTGAGTGAAACAGTATTCTCTTGTGGACATTGTTTTTCTCACGAGGGTTGAAATGCAGATTTGAATTTTGTAGTTGGCATTGTCATAAAATTTGATAACATTTTTCTACGACTGTGACAAACTGCATCAAGCAGATTTCATGTTGTGTCTCTACCATATATTTAAATTTTGGCCTCTCATGTTGTCATTTTTGGTGCAAATCAATTTAATCTTCTATCAGAAGTTTGTCTTTTGAACATAATTTTCTGTCAGGAATATGTAAAATCTTTAAAGTGCATGTGTCAGCCTTCACTAATGAACTTTTATAAGTACTTCCCACCGAGAGTTGCATGAGGCTGCAAGTAAAAGTTCACAAGGTGCACTGGTGGTACTTGAACCCATGACCTCCTGCTTACTGGTGCAGTAACCACTCAACCACCAAGCTTGTTATGTCAGGTTGTTTAATGGAATTATTACAGTGCATCAAGGAAAGTTGCGATGGATTTGTTTTACGGTGGCAGTGTTTAGGACCATGATCAAGGATGGGTACTTTACAACACTCAGTTCACTTCAGAGTGACAGTGTAGCCTTGGCTTGAATGACTTCTCTCGCAAATAAAATAGGGAACGTTTTTTGCAAAATGGATTTATTTTTCTTTCTGACAGTGGTTCCACCAAGAGACCATGTGTTTCACCTCACCTTCCCAGCTGAGTGGCGAACACACGACATCCAGCATCTCTTTAGTGTCTTTGGCCAGGTGTTCGTCAGCTGGATTGATCAAACGTCAGCCTTTGTGTCTCTGGCCAATAGAGAAGATGCTTCAAGGGGTAAGTATTGACCAATCAGAACCCAAAGAGACCCCAAGCTGGATTCGAACTTGTTTAAAACTGTGCAATCACACTTTTATTTCCTCTGGTAAATATCTTGTTTGTGTGAAAGTCCAATCAAAGTCAGACACTGATATTAATCCAAAGGTTTTCTTCGTCAGTTTTTACTTCATTGCTTTCAACTCCCCTGTAATCGTGTTCAGCTTGTGTCTCTTACACACATTATAAAAATCTCCTTGTGTAAAAATTGGTTCGTGAAATGTGCACTGCATGGTGAGACTAGACCCAGAGCTGAGTGGTGCCCATGTAGATTGAAATTTCAGCTCTGATATATGGACTAAATAGGCTACATTGCAGGAAGTGACAAAACCTCCTCAGTACTGGGGCACAAAATAGAACACAGCTGTGGTCGAGTCAAGATGGGATGGTGTGCCTGCATGTGAACGATAGTGATCATGAACACCTGGGCGTGTGTTAAATGTAACAAAATATAACATTTTTTTGCGTTTGCATACAATCTCACAAAGAAACAGAAGCTCTGTCTAAGCAATAGAGGAAAAAGTAAAACCTCCAGGTTTTATAATCTCACCAAGTATGAAAAACATCAGTGTTAATAAAGAACTGTTTACTTAAAACAACAAATCTACAAATTAGTGTGGATAAACATTTTCAAACCTAACTTTGCATGACTATGCAAAACATTCCCCAGTCCGTAAAACTAAAGTGGTCAAAACTGTGGAATGAAATAGGTCATATTTTAAGACATGTTTTTCTCGGATGTCTCTTTTGCACGATAGGGGTGTTTTTGTCACTTTGTGAGATCATCGACAACATGCCCGACTGACAACATTTTGGTCAGTTATGTTGACGCATTTATTGTATGTATAGGATGTGGATTAGAGTTCCTATAAATAAATTCAAGTAAAGCGTTTAAAATCAGCTAGTAGTTTTTATTATAGTCTGTCAAAACTACACATGTGACAGTCTTGACCAATAGGAGCATACATGTAGGTAAACTCGCTGACTTTTTGCTTGTGCTGGGTGATGTGTTTTTTTTTTGTATGATAATGAAGAAATGTTTAGCATGCAGTTGTAAAGTTGTTAAGAAAGTTGAGAAATGGTATCATTCCAGAAGGTTCATGTACTGAACACACAGAGTAGATATCTACCTAGGCAGGATTTGATCCCTAGTCACGGAGCTGAAAGGCAAACATGACGTCCAAATGATGATTTTGAAGTTACCTCTCACTAATGTTCCATCTTCAATGCAAGCCATGGGACTCTTCAAGACATTCATACAAACAAGATTTGTCATCATATTCATCAGGTTTTATTTAATGATTTATTTATATATTAGATGTATATGATTGCATTACATTAGAGTGGATAGCTGTCTTATCCTCACCCCCACACACACACATTTGTCTGAGAGAATCTCCCTTGGGTCATGGGTTGCTTTTAAAAAAGGTCAATAAAAGTGAAACATGAAACATGTCAGTCTTCCATCGGTTCATCTCCAGGGAAAACAGTAGACACTTAAATATGTATAGTCACCATGGTCACTGAACATTGTCTCGTTGTCACTAAAATAAAGTACAGACTTTTGCAACAGGGTAACTAACATGACTTCAAATGTAAGGATTTCCTGTATCGTGCTATGTTGTAAAATTCTCAGCTTAGTGCTTTGGAGAGCTTTATAACCCCCCCTTCCCAAAGAAGTCAGTGACCTTGGCAAGCCCAGCATTAGAATGGTTAGGAATCTGTAAATATTGGAAGGACCCGAGGATTTATGTCTCATTTGAGCGGGTGTAGCAATAAGAAAGTACCCATGTCTCTCGTGGATGGTTTCATGTTCAATGCTTCTGAAGTACATGTAGCATACAGTCGGGGGAAATCTTGCCTGAAGTTGACATTCATAACCACATGATGATGATTGGAAATAAATTCACAGCACTCACGCGGAACAACTGAGATAAAAGAAGGAGCCATCCTAGTATTAAACTTAAATCTACCCGAGGATATCATCACAGGGTGAGAAGTCAGGATCTTACCCATACCGTACATGTATGTAAATGTACCTCTTTCATATTTGGGACTGCATCCCACAAATTGAGTCTCAGGGACTTCAAGGAGCAAACCAGGCTCTTTTGTTTTGATGTGTCACTCAGTTTGGGTCACATTTATGAGCAAATGTACATATTTTCCTTTAGTTAACCCTAACACTCCTCAGTCCTCCAACAGGTGAAGGATTGAGAAGGGTTAATTGAATCGAGAACGATAGAATAGGTCATAGTAGTGCACTGAGACATATCATATCAGCTTCCAAATGGCAGATATCTCTTGGTCTGACCTGCTAGGTTCCCAGACTTTCTAGCTTGTTGATTCTGCTATCGGTTTACTCAAACCCTTCAGTCACTGATGACAACCCTCACATTAGGCTTTGCTTGCTGTTTATAGTACTTTCCATATTACTTGTCCACTGCCCCAACTGTGTCCATTGCCACAAAGAAATTTGTGTCAGCAAAGTTTGGCACGCCCAACTGTGATTTTCCTGCAGAAATGAATATAAAAGAGAAATAAAATAGAATTTCCAAGAACCGGGCTGAAAGCAGTTTAAAAAGGCTGTTTATATTTTGATGTCACTGTTGGGGTGACTGGGGTGCTGTTTGATGTCTTTCTGAAATCTCTTCATTCCTCTGACTTTGCTCTCCTCTCCCTCTGATCCTTTCCTTGGCTTTTCTTGCAATTTGTAATGTTTTTTCACTTTATTCTTGTTTCATTTTCAGTACTGGTGCAATTTTATGATCCTCTCTCTCTCATACCGTGTTTCTCCTGCAGCCCCATTTGAGCATATCCTAATCTCGGATAAAGTTGAAGCAGTTGGTGTAGCGGCAGTTGGGATGTAACATTCATACCACAAGGGCCGAGTCAATTTAAGTAATTCACTCTTAGAATATTTGACCTTCAATTTGATCGAATATTGGGTCTTACCGACCAGCAGATTGTTGATGAACAAACCCAAAACAAAATCAGTTGCAATAACGCACGCAATTGTACAGGTACATTACAATCACTATAATAGCTTCTCGTGTC